CCATGATGAAGATGTAGGACATAAGGATGGTCAAGGCAGGTGTCAGGATATTTAATGCACTCAAGAAAAGAACCAACAGTTCATTGACGTATATACTGGAGCATGATAGCTCCAAGAGTGGAAAAAGATCACAAAAATAATGGTTTATCACATTGGTATTGCAAAAAAACAACTTTAACATAAAGCCTGTATGAATTGATGAACCAATAAAACCCAAAGTATAAACTCCCACTATGAGCCATAAGCAGAGATGATGAGACATAACGACATTGTAAAGTAAAGGGTTACAGATGGCAACATAGCGGTCATATGCCATTGCAGCCAACATGTGACACTCTGCAATAGCGAAAACAAGGAAGCAGTATAGCTGAGTCATGCATTCAGGGTAGGAGATGATGTTCTTCACTGTCACAAAGTTCACCAGCATTTTGGGGGTAATGACAGTGGAATGGCAGAGGTCAATGAAGGACAGACTGCTGAGGAAGAAGTACATGGGCGTGTGCAGGTGGGAGCTGAGCAGGATCAGGATGATCATGCCCAGGTTCCCCAACACTGTGAGCAGGTAGATTCCAAGGAAGAGGAGGAACAGGGGCAGCTGCAGCTCTGGTTTGCTTGAGAGTCCAGCCAAGATGAACTCGGTTACCATTGAATGGTTTCCAGACCCCATTATGCTCTCATTATATTGTCTGAGGTTCTAAGTTTAAAACAGAGAAATGAGTACACTTTTGTGCATCATCTGTATTCTCTCTCTTCCCCCATCTCTCTGCCTCTGTGACTGTCCCTGTGCTCTTTCTCTATCTGTCTCTATCGCTGTCTGTCTTTGTCCCTCCTCCCCTCCCTGTGTGTGTGTATGTGTGTGTGTGTGTTGCAGAGAGACAGAGAGATGGAGAGACAGAGACTTAAAGCATTCTGTGGAGATTATGGCCCCTCATCAAAGCAGACATTCCATATAATTGTTTCTTAAGCTTCTCCTGTTTCCTTTGGACAACCGATGACTGCACAATCCGAGGAAGAGGAAGAGATATCTAGAACCTTAAAATTAATGCTGATCACAACCTTTGAGGATGAGTGCAAGGTCTGTACTTTAAACTTCAATTTAAAACAAAGGATTATGTTTTATTTTTAAAGATTTTTTCCTCCCCCTCTCAAATTATTGTAATATGTGTTGTCATGCATATTACTGTTTATAATGCATAGTAATTCAATTTTATCAGACTAAGAACCGACAAGAATAATAAATGTTTTCTTTCATTTCTATTTGTAACTGAATTAACTGTTTTCCATGATGTAATTCTGACTCTAAGTAGCTGACCAACTGGCTGGCTTGCCAATACAGTAGCTTTTCTATTGAAACTGCTGCACTGTGTATCCAATATACTTCAGGTAGTCCTGCCACCCTTCAGGGCAGAGCGTAATTTCCCCACAGATGTTGTACTTGTATCTCAACAGCAGAGGGATTGTGCTTTCTTCTAATTTGGATAGTTCCCAGGGAACAGTCCATTGGCATACATTTAGTTATATTCTTCACCACTGTGGAAGAGAAACAATGGACCATGACTGACCTCTGCTAACTTCATTATTGAATTGGCAGAGCTCAAAATACTACTTGTATGAGAAGAGTTTGGAAGACCAGCACAAGATGCACTGGTAGATTATGTGATCATGAAGTTTATATGTACCCTCTAACATGTTTATTGACGGTGGCTTGTAGATTATCAGAGCACTTGCAAAATGGAATTTGAAATTTTTATCAACCCATTAAGCTAATGATATAATGTAGTTCTTCAAAATGACCAATATACATTTACTTTATATTTAAAAAAAAAAAAAAACACTTTCAAGCAACATCTGTACTATCTTCAGACCAGACTTGGATATTTTGAAAGAACATGGAAACCAGATAGTTTCAGAAAAAAGTCAATAACTCTTACTAGTTGGGGAATGTTTAACATAGTAGAGAGCAATTTGACAATATAGTATAAATACACATATTACATGACATGTGTATCAAAATATTTATCTTATTGGTCTATTTAAAAGAGTATTAGCCACCTGTCAGAATGGCTACTATCAAAAACACAGATGACAGCTTATGTTGGAGAGGATGTAGAGTAATATGGAGTAAGCAGAACTCTCCTCCACTGCTGGTGGGAGTGAAAACTTGTACAATCACTTTGGAAATCAGTATGTAGTTTCTCAGAAAATTGGGAATCAATCTACTTCAAGACCCAGCTATACTACTCTTGAGCATATACCCGAAGGATGCTCAATCATAACACAAGGACATTGCTCAACTACATTCCTTGCTACTCTATTCATAATAGCCAGAACCTGGAAACAACCTTGATGCCCCTCAATCAAAGAGTGAATAAAGAAAATGTGGTACATTTATACAATGGAGTATTACTCAGTAGTAAAAAACAATGACATCATGAAATTTTCAGGCAAATGGATAGAACTAGAAAAAAAATTATCCTAAGTGAGATAACTCAGACTCAGAAAGGCAAACACATTATGTACTTACTCACAAGTGGATTGTAGATGTAAAGCAAAGGATAACCAGGATACAATCCACAGCCCTAGAGAAAACTAGGTAACAAGGAGGACACTAAGAGGGATGCATGGATTGCTCTGGGAAGGGGAAATAGATGAGATCTCCTGGATAATCTGGGGGTGGAGAAGAGGAGAGAGGATAGGGGATGGGAACATGAGAGATCAGGATGGTCAAGTTGGGAGAGGGAGGGAGAGGGAGAGCAAGAAAGAAGTATCTTGATAGAGGGGTCATTATGGGGTGAGGGAGAAATCTGGTGCCAGGGAAACTCCCAAGAATCCACAAAGATGATCCCAGCTAAGACTCTCAGCAATAGTAGTGATGGTGCCTGAACTGGCCTTCTTCTGTAATCAGATTAGTGACTACCCTAATTGTCATCATAGAACCTTCATCCAGTAACTGTTGGAAGCAGATGCAGAAATCCACAGCCAAGCACTGGACTGAGCTCCAGGAGTCCAGTCGAAGAGAGGGAGGAGGGATTATATAAGCAAAGGGGTAAGATCATGATGGAGAAACCCACAGAGACAGCTGAGCTGAGTTCCTAGGAGCTCATGGTCCCAAGACCAACAGCTGGGGAGCCTGTATGGGACAGACTTAGGCCCTCTGCATATGGATGACAGTTGTGTAGTTTGGTCTGTTTGTGGGGCCCCTAGCCTTGGGACCAGGATCTGTCCCTGGCACATGAGCTGGACTTTTGAAACCTATTCCCTGTGGTGAGATGCTTTCAGCCTTGATGGGGGTGTGTGAATTGGGGTGAGGGGGGAAGCTTGGTCCTTCCTCAACTTGATAAGACATGCTTTGTTGGCTCTCATGGGAGGCCTTACCCTTTCTGAGGAGTGGATTGAGGAGAGTGTAGAAAGGAGGTTGGGGGAGGGGACAGGAAGAAAGGAGGAAGGAGAAACTGGTTGGTATGTAAAATAAATAAAAAAATATTTAATTACAAAAAGGGAAAATATGAGTATTGGCCTCACTGTATTTGCCAGTCTTAAAGTAAAATTAATGTCCTGAAGTATATTGCTTCAAAACCAAATAGGACATCTCAACAGTCAGACATGCTATGATTTCCTCAAATCCAGGAATGTCAGATTATTTACTGTGTAGCCATTTGTCCGATATTGCTCAAGGACATAGAATTAGGCATATTAAGTCACCTTTAAGACCTGTTCCAACTCTATTATTTTGTGACTTGATAATGCTAATGTTATAGATTACACAATCTAAGTTCAAATTTTTTCTCAAAATCCTATCTGCTGTATGACCTCAGGAAAATTTATTCCATTCTTCAATTCACCTAGAAAGCAGAAATTTAAAAATCTGACATGTAAAAGTTAAATTAATTGGCACATAGGTTCTGGATCAAGGTATGAACTTAACTGAGGACCGTGTTGTTTACATTGAATTGTGTTGAGTTTCTCTCTGGGATGTCCTACATGAGTTAGCAATTTTTCTTCCCTTCCAAATTGTTGATCTGAATAATGCTTGGCTTATTGGATTGTATATAGCAAGTGTCAAAAAATGAATTCAATAAAGTTGTCTACAAAAACTTAATATTCAGTTAAAACAAATTCACAAGAATGGAATGCTATCTTCACACTAATTTAGCTAAAAGAGAGTGAACAATGACATGTGTGACATGAGTCTATACTGAAGAAGACGTGGGGGAAATAGACTTCTCCTCAGTGTGGTCTCTAGAATAAGCATGGGTATAGATGGATAAACTGCCATGAACATCTGTGTGGACCAGGAGAGATATTGCAGAAGGAGATTATAATGTTTTAAAAGATAAGCATGGAAGTTTGTACTTACCCTTCTTCACAGTCAGTTCAGTTGGAGGTTTTGAGTCTCCATTTCACACTGAATAGAAAATTGTCTTTGATAATGTGAGAAGGGAATGGATAGCTTCAAAGATTCTTGAGCCTCTGATCTTGGCCTGCGATTAAGCTGATGTTTCAGTCATTTGTTCCTGTGCAAAGGTTGGCTAATACAACACTTCCATATGTCAGAAAAAACCACAGTCTCATTAAAAACAAAAGCAATAATGACCTCTCAGAAGAATCCTATCCCATAGGTATTAACTGTGAGGGGAAAAGTCAACAATTAGAAATCCCCTTCCTCCACCGACTGTCAAGTGTTTAATATCATTTATGGTTATTTGCTCTTCTTGTTAGATTCTGAATTGAAAACAAGAATGTGAGTGCTCTCTCATTGTTAGAGTCTAGATATCTTAAACCAAGGCATTTGAAACTTCAAAACTTCAGGATAATCGTAAAACATATATTTAAAGAATTATCTCATGTAGTTTCTCCAAAAGGCAAAACAGAAAACAAGAGAAGCTATATGCTTTCATTTACCTTTGTTGACTTTACTACCCTAACTGTATTTAAATGTATAATGCATTCAGAAGCAATGATTGCTAGAATATTTTCAATTGTGGAATGAACACAAGCATATCTCATTTTGTTTTCCCATTAAAATTCAGGTATTATCAAAGACTCACAAGGAGTTCCTAACAAGACCAATAGACAGAGACGAAGATTTTTTCTTTCTAAATTTAATAATAAAATATGAATGGGCAAGGTGAACATATTTTTGTAGGCTCTATTTTCATATTAAATTATTTGTTGAAGTAAAATTGCATTTTATGTTCTATTCACTATTCACTAACATACAGTTTTTGAGATAATGGTAGCAATAAATTTTTGTTTACTTTGGAATTCTTTAAATTTTCTGGATGCAGAATAGAGTTTTAATGTGCTTTATGCAGGTATTTCTCCAAACTGTTAAAACCTACCACTCAAGTTTTAAATAAGATTAGTAAAAATAAAGCTATCAACTTTATTTTTGGCTGCTGGCAAAAGGAAAATGTAATATTGCTAGGTATATTAATCACATTCCAGGACAGGGCCCATGCCCAGGAGTAGTTGACAGACACAAAATGGGCCCAATTTTGTTTTTTGCTTGTTTGTTTTTCACGGACTTTTTTGTTTCATTTTGTTATTTTGATATATTTTTGTCTTGCTGGTCTCTTGTTTGTTTAATGGGTCTTTTTTGGTTTTGGATTTTGTTTTTTGTGTTTTTATTTTGAGAGCGGGGGGAGGGGTGTTGTGTGGGTAGGA